ATACTTTTTAGATATTGTTTCATGCTACCGGTAGACATAATTTTAACAACTGATTGGTCAACTGTAAAACAATTTCTACATCCTTTAATTCTCTCCATATGATCGAGCTACGTGATATTTCTTGTCTTGACCACTGACTACTATGAGAGACAGTTATTTAAGTGAACAATATAGCCAGTGAAACATGTAGCGTTAGTGTAAGAATAGCTACGTTTAAAATTAAATGGGAGTTGCTTTTAATAAAGGACTCAACATGATGTAACCAGAAATGTAGTTCTTATGCCGTGATGGAAGGAAAACCTTAAAGAGTTCCGTGATAATTGTTTTTGTCATGATCTCTCCTATGGACTTAATCACTAAGTACCGTATGCCGCTAGTATTTTCTGGCCAGACTGGCAAGTTTATGAACATAGTAAATCTTTAAAGGGATTGTGATCTAAAGTCCAGAGTTTTCCACTTTGAGGAAAATCTGCAAAAATCGTGTATTTGAGGGTACAAAGCAGACAATGCCATTCTCGGTAAAAAAAAAACAGAATAAAACAAATAAATGTTTTTGGTTTCTGCACAATTAATCAAATAAATACGAACCTAAATTAGGAATGACAACTCATTTTCACTGTTTAACTCACTTTGAAAGTAACATTTTGGTAGCGTTTCCCCTCCTGTTTTTCCTTTTTGATATCACAGAATTTGGTATTGATTTCCTCCTGCTCCGCACTGCGGAGATCACACAGGTCCCCGTTCCCTACATAGTGCCCAGACATCTCACGGCTTATGAATAAATCATTAGGAACGGGGACCAGTCTAAGATCACAGTGGCATGGTGTGTGTAGGCCCTACATGTGTCATTATGCCAAAGATACCAGTTATATGATAAATGTACTGTACATGTACATGTAGGTCCACAGTACATGTACATGTATATGCATTTCTATATATTTAGAAAGCGAAAGAAAGGAGAATTTGAATTTCAGAAAGTAGAAAATTCTCGACTGTATTGTGAACCCATAGGTTTCATTAAAGCGATTAAATCATCCGTACATGTACTTTTGGCAATTTTCCTTTCTTGCAATATCGGTAACCATGTTGCAGATTAATCTCCAAACTGCACTGTTCCATTTCCATGGTGGCTTTCCATGCACTTTTGCTAGGATTTGGTACAAAACCAGAGTTCGCCAAGTCTTTCTTGACATCAGCAAACTACCTGCATAACCTAGCCTATTGTTTAGATAGAGTATCGATTTTCCTTCATTTTTAAACCAGTGGTCTGACTATATGCACCTTTGTAAAAACGAAGGGGCAGTTGACAGGCCAAACGGTAAGACCTTGAATCTGTAAAATATGTGGGTCCCATTATCAAATCGTACAAACCCTACATTGTGCATACTTTTGATGATCTGGTAGAATGCAGACATGATGGTATACCGATTTTAGATAAAATTTGAAGAGGAAGCTGTTCTTTCTGAGGAATATCAAAGCAGTATGCGAATCTTCATATTTGAAAGACTGTTTCCTAACATGTTTGTTTACGTCTCTCAAGTCTAAAAATAGCTGTTGTTTATGTGAACTCATTATTGACACAGCTACATGTAGATAAAGGATTGACATATGGTTGATCAGAGCATTTCATGACAGTGCCATCGTTCCAGATGCGATATGGCTTCTTTGACGTAATTTTTATAAGCTCAAGCTGACCAGTGCGTTATTAAAACTATTAAATCACACTCAAAGTTATTTTGGGGGTAGGAGGAGGTGTTTCAGAAAGGGGATGGTGTAACCTTTCTCACTAACATCAAGAACAAAGGAGTTATGCATGATGGAATACTAATAATGCTTATGGGCATACAAAAGATCAGCAACTTTAGTATCAGAAGTAATATTTTCCTCATACTCGAAAAAAGTCGGTAATGTTAACATCATGCTTATTGGAAATAAAACACTCAACTTGCTCTTGTGAGGGCTTATCCCGACAGAAAGTCTTGTCAATTGCTGGACGCTGGTCTGGGGTTGCCAATGGGCTGAGATGTGGCGATATTGGAACAAGCACTTCTCCAGTGTCCCTGGCTGCCGCAGGTTTAGCAGATGCCATGGCTTGAAGGGGTTCAATTGAGGCAAAAAGGCGGAGGCTGAGCAGGCAATAGTTCTAAGCGAGTGAGAAGAAATCAAGGTCTCATAACTGCTCTTTAGGCTTTGAGCTTGCATACAGCTCTGGTCTTGACATGGATGATTTTCTTGTCATTGTCAGAGTCACTAGCCAGTTGCCCTTCTCTTTTCCAGGTTATGTGACTTTTGGTGGCAGATTTTAACTTGGCTTCAAGGTTGACTGAAACTGTCACGTACATGTTTGTTCACCCACTGCTGCCAGTGTACCATTTAGTTAATACACAGATTTGTATAGGGTAGAGCGTAGTGGGCAAGCTGCATTCTGGTCACATTCCATACGACTACTGCTTTGAATTCTGATCAAACAATGAAGAGCCGTAGCCAATGTTCAATACTAGTGGATGTTGTAGTCTCACATGGAGACACTGCAGGGCATGTTGCCAACATAGCACGCTTAGTGTGCAAGATACATGTAAACCATTAAAAATGTCTCTTACAGGAGTTTTTCTGGAGATATGCCCAACGTACATGTACATATTTGCAAAGACATTACTAATGGCATACACGATAAAGCCAAAAGTGCTTCATTTTTGTAAAAAGTGATATTAAATCATTTTATCCAGCATCGTTATTTAGTGTCCACAAATGCCAGTACCGATCCTTGATATATCATAAGGTAATTTTTATTGATACCATTTAACCCCACTAAATTCAATACTATTCAAATATAACTGAACTTTTGGTTGGGTAATGACTTGCTGTGACAATAAAATCACAGCATAAACCAAATTTATGTTCTTAAATGTGCCTTTTAAAAAATGTAGCAAGTGAATATGCATCAAGATAGCCTTGAGTTCAATACTGGCTTCAGCTTTATGTGTTTGGGAAAACTCTGGATGCAAGAATATTGTAACGAAAAGCCTTTTTGATGTCTAATTAGAATTCCTTTTTTGTGTTTGCTCATGGCTCATTGCATGCTGAGAATTTGGCTTGTTCTTTTCTTAACCAGGACTCTTTTGTTAAGTTGGATAAGCTTGAGCAGAGCTCAGTGTGTAGTCTGTAGATCAGTCATTTTAATTGAATTATTTTGTATCACCAGAGAATGGAGGGCCACTCCCTTACATTCCTTCTTTTGAAAACTGGGTTGGGCACTCTGTATAAAAACTAGAGCCCACTATTGCCTGTCGAGGATTTGCGACTGGGTGTTGGCAAAGGCAACATGCTGTTTTGATTTGTTTCTGTTGCATGTACATGTATGAATGCCACTTCTGAAACACATTGATATCCTGACAAATTCTTTAAGTTTATTTTCTATCTTCATGCATTTGTGCCCCGTGCCTCATCCCAGCCGTGCCTGTAGTTCCTGTACATGTAGTTCTGTTATTATTGTATAATTTACTGGTTGTGCTATATAATTGTAGATGCAGTAATGAGTACTGACCAAACTGTTTAAAGATGGCAATTGATTCGTTTACTTGCTGGCTAGAGCCACGAGCTAATTAGATTGTGAATTACAGCCGAGAAACTTGTTGGGCTGATTCAATGATTTGAATCCATACTGTCAAATTGTAAATATTTGAAATGATGCAATTATTTTTGTTCATTAATTAAATGCCAGAGGCCAGTTGGCCAGTGGCGAATTTAAAAATAGTTCTTTTCTGTTTAGTTGATTTGTGTGTGTTCCCACTACTGGCGGAGTCCTAATTAAAGGGATTTCGTTGCAATATCATGATATTTTTTTACAGGCACAGAGGTAATCAATGAATTTCACCACTAGAAAAAGGCTACTGCTGCATAATTAGAAGACTGAATAACAAAGAATTACATCAGAGATTCGTTTCCATCACAAAAGCTGTGCTGGCATTCAGTGTTCAGCCCTGAACAAGGTGCAAAATTAAGTGGAGGAAGGAAATGTGGAATAACTCAGCATCTGCTATACCGAACCCTTTATACCTTCCCTTGACTTCTCAACAGTTGTTTTAAGATACACATGTACAAGGATAAAGTAGATATATTCTAATTTGTTTTGGTGCTCACTCGAATGAATCAACATTACCGCTAACATTTGTGCAAGACTAGTGGCCTAGTGCACATGGTAAATTGCATGGAGGCCTATAACTTTTGAGGATTCATGAAAGATTTCCTGAGCTTTTATATCTCCCAAAATTAGAATATTTCTCTATTGTTATTTCAAACATACAGAGTATTATATTTTATTTTTCTGATTCATGGTTCTGGAGGTGTTTTCATAAGGATAAAAGTCACAGTGACGATTTTTAAGACCAAAAAAGTCACTGTGCACGTTCAGTGCTTAAGTGGCTTCAATCCGTCAATTTAGTTTGTGCCAGCTAAATATGTACTGTGCCTTTCTTAATTCACAACTCTATCACAGTGATATAGTTTTCTTGACAATTTAAACATTTTTTGGGGTAAAATTCTACTCTCCACTTACACGTGACTGAAATCATGTGACTGAAAATTCTCTATAGTTAGCTGCAGTTTCTTGATGTAATCAAGCCGTGCAATTTATCAATTGCTGCCTGATATTGACAATTTTAATAGCTTAATGTTTGTTCTCTACTTTCAGTTACCTTTGACGATTGAGTACATGTACATGCATCATCATTGGTACTACTGTGGAGCAATGAGAGTCAAACCATCCTACAATGCCACACAAAATTAATTTCTACGTCATTCATGCAAGTGGGTCAGACACAGGCGTGAGTCTGCATGACTTGGAGGTGCATAGTCCCCTTGCTAGGGGTTGGCGGTCACCAAGATTCTGCCTTTATCCACAGGAGATTGTGATTCAGCTTGCTGACAAAACCCGCATAAGGAAACTACAGCTGCTCGTTCACCAATATCTCATACGTATGTATAAGTCACACAATTTCATTGATTGAATCAGATTTGTTTTTAGGGAGTTGGGACTGCCAGTACAATATACATGTACATGTATGAAAGAAAATATAATTATTACTTGCATTTACGGTTTGAAAAAGCCTTTTTGGAGGTAGTCTTAGCTGCCAGGTTTAATTTGAAGTTACATGACGTATTCCTGGGGGATTTTTAAGCTTTTCCCATTTTCAAAATTACCATTACCAATACCATTTTCAGTGGTATAATCATACAAAACAATAACGGATTTCCTCTGCTATTGACAACTGGAAAATGTTGGCAATTCCCAGCAGCTCGGTCTTCTGTTCCAAGTATGGTCTTTTGTTACAAGGCTAAGCTCCTTTTGACCAATTAAAGGCACGGGGGCTTTGTATATAAAGCCAGCGTCTCCAGCACCAGGCATCCCAGCATGAAGTGGTTAATACAGGAAAAACATGTCCGAAACAGTGCTTGTAAGCTGTAGGCCATTACTATTATAACCCCTGACCTGTGTTGTGTGCATGCTTTGTGTTGTATGGCTATGTGTGCAGTGTACATTGTACATGTATTGAAAGCGTGGCAAACGTAAAATATGCGCAATTGCACATGTACAACACCAGTCTGTAACTTAATGCCTTGACGGGTTTTGTACAGGCCAGCAAAACTCATCACGGTATGATTCGCTTCTCGCAAAAACCACGTAGCATTCATCAGTGGGCAAAATAGGTCATGTTTAATAAATTTATAAGTTACTGCATCATCAGGAGTGCTACATGTACAATGCAGCCCTTACTGTTGGTGAAAGTGTTCAATTTCATAGTTTGTACTGAGCACTGTACTGAAGGCTCCCACCAACTTTTCAGTCAAATGTTGTGAACTGATCCCCATTTTCCACAAAATTTGAATGAAATACATACATGTACCAACACACATGTTACATGTACATGTAAATGCGAAAAAAATGACTTAACATTTGCACATTTAGTCATGGCCTCTATCATTTCACAATGTGGAAACCATGGCATTCATAATGCAATGTATATGTATGCAGGTGTAGTGACAGTATTAAAAGCCTGTGGTAGGCTGACTAAACTGAATCAATCATATCCTCGTTTGTGATGGGCAACTGAAAAGCTGTTAAAATTCATTCCCAGGCATATCACGAGGAACCCCCGTCCCAAATTGTCGTCCAACACTGAGTGAAAAAATAAAGACATTAAACCCAGAAGTTGCAGACCCAACAAGGTGGTCTTTCAAATTTGGCCACTTATGACATGCACAAGTACATTATGTGCATGCACACTGTTACAGATGGGACATTTCTTCCTTTATAATTCGCCTGCTGTTTTTATTATTTAACTCTTTCTTTAGACATTTGTGGTATTTTAAGTCGAAACTGTTCCGCAGCAGACCCTATATATTGTGTTTTGTACCCAGTATTCTTTTTTAGGATGTTGCCTAGTGGGCCGACTGGTTATGTAATGGCCCTTTTATTATTTTCTGGGTGCACATGTATTTAAGAAGTGGGTTGTACCATGCTTGGGTGCACTCATCATACCACAGCCACCCATTCATCTAGGGGCTCTGTTCTTTTTTTCAACTGATGGGTGTCGCCAACCTTCATCACTCCAGCCAATGACGAATTGGCCCTCCAGCTAAACACTGCCTGCAGATACAGCAAGTCACCGCTGTACTCTTCTCCTTCAAGTTGATGGCTTGCCACATGCATTGCATGTAGAGACAGCGAGTCTCCGCTGTTCTCTCTCTCCTTCAAGTTGATGGCCCAAACCAACCAGTTTTGCGGCTTTTCCTAGATGGCCTAGGACCAGACTGGTTCTAAGGCTCTTCCTAGATGGCCTGGGACCAGACCGGTTCTGAGGCACAACCCCAGATGACCTGGATCAGGCCAACCGGGTGCACCAGCCAGTGCTTCAGCCAGCTGTGCCTGAGTTGTCCCTCCGCCACAGAATACCAATAGTCAACTTGACAGCATGCACCCAATCAAGTCCTCAACAACAACCTATAAGTAATTATTTAATTTTATAAACAAATAGTAACCTAGATTTAAATTGCTTTAGATATTATTTTTGATATGTAAACTGAATAAATTTCTGTAAATATAGTTGCTGGTTTCCTTTTCTCTGCTGTCATGTTCATCTCTGTCGTGCCCTACTTCATTTTGGTTCTTTGGAATTAGTCGCATGTAACAACACATCCTTACACAGCTATACTTGTTGGGTATTTCCTTTGTTCTCGTCTACAAAACTCCCACACAACACGCAAAAAATTTCAAATCACTCCAATTTAAATCAAATTCACTTTCCTTGGTTGAAATTTTGACCATATGTCCCTTATATAAAACACTTCAATTTGCGACAGATTTTTATCCATAAAAAATTTTCCGTTTTTGAGTTATTTCCAAATATCAGTTTTGTGAAATTCTTGCAGGGTACCAATTTTGGTACCCCACAAGGTGAAAACTGGCCGTGTGGGGTATATGGTACTTCCCATTGTTCCCGAACCCAACAAGGCCCCATGTATAAGCGCATAGTAGTGTACCGTACAGTGTGCCCAGTTCTTTCTCCTCATTGACATAGTACAGGTAACGCGGGCACGATGCAGACCACAACGCAGATACCCAGTCTGCTTTGCTATTTAGGCCTCTGTACATTGTCTATCATTACATCTGTGCCTCAGCCAACTGTTCTGTTGGTGCATTCAGTCGTGCAGTAGATGCTACTCTCTACCAGGCCACTCTACAATATACAAATGTTGTTTTCTGTGGTGGCCTCTGGTTAATTCGACACCTAGTCCCGTATACTCAGCGTGAGCCTGATTGAAGTAATTTTTATCACTATGCCATGTATCAGCCCCCGACTGACGCTTGAGTAGCTCTGGGGGCGCTGCATGAGCCGGGAAACAGAGAAGTGCATTATGCTGTTTGACTTCACTTCATTTAGACCAGGTAACTTAGACCAGGTATGAGCAGCTTACCAGGTGTATGTGACCTGGGCCAGGACCTGGGGGAGATAATTCTGTGCTTTGCCCGCAGACCCCTTATGACTCCCACACGCCTGATCCCTTTGGTGTCTGAGACTTCGTCATCAGGGAACCTAGGTCTGAACTGGTCAACTCTGATATGTCACCTCGTTCTAGATAATTCATGAGGTTTTCATCTCTCTCCACACCTACACATCAGACTTTGCTTGTGGGGTGAACTTCCCATGTGAAAGGGTTGATTTAATTCCATCTCTAGATAGGAGAAACCTGTTGCTAACTTACCGGAGGTCTCAAAGGTTTGGAGGAAATACAGTGGAACAGTTCTGGTCCTCCTTCCGTCGCCAGTTTTGTATGCACTGGTCAAATCCCACTTTGCCTCTTCATCAGTCTTCATGGGCAGTGCTTGGGAGATAGACCAGAGGGAATGTCGACACTTTTCCCATCCCTGTTGGTCTGATGCTTCTGATTACATTGCTTTCCAGGTGCCTTCAATGCTCAAATTCAAGGCACTCTCTACGGTAGCAAGGTTCTAGAAGACATTTCCTCAGTCAAATAAATTCCTTCGTCTGCTCATTCGGCTACCCTCTTGCAGTCGTGTCTGCCCTTCATTCGACTGGGGTCTTTATTGAATTCTAATCTTTGTTGCTACAGGTAATTGTAACATGAGCATGGGTCACAGCAACTTGGCCCCTGTTAGGTTCAACCCAAGCTTCGTTGGGATGTTGCTTTACTTCCCACTCCAATCTCTCCACAGGAATTCCAGTTTCCTAATTCTACGATTCTTGTCCTTTTACCTTCTCTGATCTAACTGTGCTCTTATCTCGCCCTTCGCCTGGGCCTTTATCCCGTAAGCATATCTTCGGCCCGAGGATGAATCCCCCCCCCCAAAAAAAAACCCTGATACCTCTTACCATCAAGACACACCCTGTTAACAGTTGAATCTGACAATGGACCTTCAACTACTAGTTCCTACTGGCTCTTCCTAATCTTCATAGGGTACTCCTGTCCCCAAACTTCCAAATTTCAAGCGCAGGAGTACATTGGTTGGCACATTGTTACCAAATAAATTACTACAGAGGTACTCTACGCCTTGGCCTCCTGAAAATTGGATGTTCCAATGAGCCCTAGGCTTTGAGATTAGCCTGAAGGTAACTAACATCTTCAAGCCAACAACTCCTTAACAGATGTCTGCTCTGATGGAAGGATTCACACAGTAGAACAGAACATTACATCACAGGGTGGTTGAGCTAGTCCCTTGGTACCTGACAGTCTACATATTGTTGGTGCTACCTTGACATGGGACATCTAGTTGCTGTTATTCTACACCAGACTCCCAGTGATTCTGTCAGAATTTGCCAGGAAAAATATCTGCCATTCAGATCATTATAGACCTAATTCCTAAACCTCAGAATTAATTTAGCCAGATTCCTAGGGAAACATCTACACTGGAGTATACAGTTCCCCGTTTTCATGACATGAAGAGCGATGTGAACTCCAATTCTAATTCCCGAATAGTGCAGTAACCGACTCCTCTACGGGACAAAGTACTGCTGTCGCCAATCACATGTAGCTACCGTGTGTTGTCTCAGCAAGGTAACACTGACTCCAGGTATCCTCTTCCTGGAAGGAATATCATGATCCCTATCACGATCCACGACGCTAGGTTTATGTACATGTACATGCTCAATGCTGACATTTTTCGTTAGTATATGTTGGTAGTTAATCTACATGGCTATATGCCAGATAACACTACGACCTTTTACCTCAGGCTACCCTTAGCATGGGCTTGCAATGCGTTCTGCAGAGGCAAACCGATAATACATGCATCTTCTTTGTTGAGATCACGAGAATCAGTTCTATGTCTACCTTCAGCTCTACTACGTATCTTTGGGTGTCCTCCTTTCATGGTCCTATACTCTATATTCAGCTTGGTATATTGACCGGCCTTCTGGTCCAGGTGAGCAGTGTAGATGTGTTTAGATGTGTTTGGCCAGTGTTTCTCTAAATGGCTACCAAATTATATTTGAACCCGTTCACATTAAGTCAAGGAAATTTTTCCATGTACTTGTTTGTGTTTTGAATTTAAATTAAGCCAGTTTTTGAATTACCATTGTATACCCTCAGAGTGCAAAAGAACTGTACCATGTTTACCGTAAATTGCAGCTAATACATGTAGTTACCAGTATCCAACTTTATTTTTATGAAAACATTCATGTTTTCTTTTCCTTTTCAAACTGTATGTACCTTACAGTTCGTTTTCGTTTCTTTTAAGCCACTAAGATAGAATTCTACATCGGCAGCCTACCTCCAGACCATGTCACCACACTGCATGGAACACGTTACAAGCGACTTGGGTAGGTTACTATACATGTACATGTATATAGCTCAAGGTTTGTCTGACAAATAGTGTAAAATATATATTTCCCGCAGTTCACAGTAAAGCGGGAAATTATTGTCTTGTAAATTTGAATAAACATAGTATGTGGGTCAGTAAGCAGGTGTATTATGTAATCTGGAATGTCAGGATGGGAGTTTTAAAGGGGGTCAATTGTGTAGATGGTTAGTTCTAGCGAGCACACCCATAGATGCATGTTAAAATCACTATATCGGTACAATTATTAGGTGAAGTCCAACACCAACACAGAGGGGACCGCTGACACTTTTTGGACACAGGTCTCCAGAGCATTTTAAAAATTTTTATATCTAGTTTTTCCTGGACGTCGTAGTCTCCCATGAAGTGATTCTAAAAAATGATGTGATCAGTAGAATACCGGATACATGGGTTTGTTTGCAAAACGGTATTACTGTATGTATTGTTTAAAATTAAGGACAACGTAAGAGAGTTGCTGTACAATTTGCATTTGCAAACGGGGGTATGCAGACAGGAGTATAAATGAAAATTTTCTCAAAATTAACTACTAAGAGTACATTTCCGTGACATGGCCGATGGACGACTTATTTTATATTGAGCCATTGATGTAAATTTTTCCTAATGGAATATGAAATCTTGTAAAAAAGAAAAACCAGCATAGTACATGGCATAAATGGTAGTCATGCCAATAGAATAAAAGATGAGGAACGAGCATCGATTCTTGTGCTGCGCTGTCGCCAAATTAAATTGAGAGATTTGGTTTAGTGTTTTATTGTGTTTGTAAAGAGAAGACCTGTACATCCCACATGTGCATAATAATAAATAAATGCCTAAGTACTTTAATAAGTTGTTCAAAGGTTGCTTTTTGTACAGCCCAGGTTGATTTTGTAGTAAATTATATCCGTTTTTACTAAATAAAGAGAGTGTGTTTCTTACTCTCTTTTGCCGGGAACATTTTTTTCTGCTGTGATCATGCTTCCCGTCGAAAGGGCGTAAGTGCGCTTACACCCTTCTGCTGGGCATGCGATGATATACTGATAAACACTGTATGCTTAGTGCTTGTCCAAGAGCTTACAAAAAATTCAGAAGCTTACTCGAGTTGGACTCAAACCCACGACCTCCTGCTTACTAGTGCAGACGTCTTAACCACTTGACCACTGAGCTTGCCGGGGTCAGCTGGCTGGTCCGAGTCAAGTGAAGCAGCGGGTACCGCAAACTATTTTCAAGATGTGTTTTTGCGTTGGGGAGATGTTAATTTATATAACAGGTTTTTTGCCCTTACACAACGTATATATTGATAAAGACTGTTTGCTTCGTGCTTGTCCGAGAGCTTGCGAAAAAAAAGGCACAAGCTTACTGGGGTGGGACTCGAACCCATGACCTCCTGCTTAACTCACCAGAGGGTTGGTTCCCGCAGCTGGTTACCCTTACCTGGTTTAGCCCGCCTGCCAAACGGTTTACCGGGGTGTGCCCGCTGCGCGTGCTGCCGCTGCTGGGAGGCACAGGTGAGAGTTGAGTGTCAGAGGAGCGCCAATGTAGGGCGAGTTACCCCCGAGAGGGCAAGGCAAGCTCCTTCCCTAAAGAGGTACTCCCCCACCCCGACACCCCCAAAATTAATTTACATCTCCCCGACGCAAACCCATCTTTGAAATAGTTGTTTGCGGTACCCATTATATCCGGGTTCGTTATGGGTTCGAACCAGTCAGCCGACACCGGCAAGTGCAGTGGTTAAGACGTCTGCACTAGTAAGCAGGAGGTTGTGGGTTCGAGTCCCTCCCGAGTATGCTTGTGGGTTTTTTCACAAGCCTTCGAGGGTATGCATTGAGCATACAGTGTTAATTACATGTCAGGCAGGGCAAAATCCATGTTGGGATGGTGTCAAATGCAATGAAGTCTCACTACACACTGCAGAAACCACGTTCATGGTGGTAATGATTTTAATATTAAACAAACTTGAAATTCATGTCTGTAAATTACTATTTTTTTCCCTCTTGCAATCATTAACAGATATGTTGCTATGTCTGATAACTCCAAGACTGGTTACAAAGCCAGAGAGCTGAAGAGTGTCCATGTTGATGCTGTTGGTCAGTACGTGCGGCTTGTCATTCACAAAAATCATGTCAACAAGTATAACGTGTACAATCAGGTACTTCGTTTTGAATTTTTAGGGGTTGGTGGGGGTGGGTGTTTGTCTTTTCCCTGTTTTTCAACTGTAAATTCAAACCCGAGAGTTATGTGCTTGAACAATCATGTACATGTATTTGAACAACCGCGTACTGTACATGTACATGTATTTGTAGATCCTAGCACTGTTTGACCGGTTCTTAGATTAGCAGGATTAGTGCACGTTATAAATTGATATTAGTTGTCTCGTTTGTTGTGTTATTTGTTGTTCTATCTCAACCTTAAAGGCATATTTTATTACTCAGCTATTTTCATTATCAAAGCAAACTTTTATGAGTTTGCAACTAATGTCCTGTGGATGTTTAACTCCATTTTTTTGTAAATCAGAGATACTGTACAGGTACCATTTCACAAAATGTTCCAGGAGAGCCAAGATCAGCAGGGGTACATTAATCCCCCTTGACTGTGAATATGTTTTCAAAATATTGCCCTAAGGTTAATTGCAAGCTTAATCATGTACTGACTGTTAGTCATGTATGTTAAATTTGGAACTGCCATGTCCATTTTTGAGGGTACCAGTAAGTTGCTAGTGATTTTTGTCCAAAGTTGTTTTTGTGAACAGTAGTTTGTGTTGTCATGATATTTGAAGGCCTGAAACAAAGAATTCAAATTTTTCCTGAAGTGTTCAAAATTGGGATGTGGTTGAGAAAGACGTTTTTCTTTTTCTTTTCCCAACGGGATGTGTTTTCATATCTACCAAAAACTCAATACTAATAATTCAAGTATTAATTGAATGCCCTTGCAGGTGTAATAATTCAGTGTTCAGTGAAAGACGAACACAAAGATACATTAAGTTCATTATTAAAACCGAGGTCTGTGTACATGTATTTCCTTCATAGCATTACGAGGAGAAAAACAAATTCACAATATGTAGCCCCAGTGTTGCATGTACATGTACATGTATGTATACTACATGTGAACTATATGTACACTCTCTCTGGTAATAGTGCAGTACACTCGTCCAGGTACATGTATGTGTAGTATCGCCTGTTGGGCTTGGTAAAGTACATTGTGCTGTGTGGACTGCCTCTATCTAAAATAACTTACAGAAGTCAAACAAAAAAATCTAGGTACATGTATATGAAATTGACTGTATTTTGTAGTTTAGTTCCTGGTCTGTGTGCAGTAAAGATTTAATTCTGGGAAAACTTCTAAAATTACAAAGTCTACTGCCTGCAGTTTACCAATACATATGCATTATTTCCTAGTCTGTTACTGGTACTTCCATTTGCTAAATTTTCGATCACCAGCAGAACGCCTTCACTCACTCGACCCTCGCGAAGGTGGCCAACATGTTCTTCCTCCTTTTCTTAGAGCCATTACTATCGGACGTGTTTGCTCTTAAAATTTTCGAGCATGTTTTCTTTTTTTCCTAGAGTATAATGAATTTTATCGCTAAGGTCGATAAAATGTCTAGTATGTAAAGACATGGGAAAACAAGATTAGTGCATTTGCTACACTATGCTACTGAATTATGCTGAATCTATCACATCAAGACTGACCCTCATACTAACCATGTCAGGCAAAGGCAACTACGCTTTCTAGGACACATCCTCAGGATGCCTGAAGAAGAAGCATGCTTTAGATACAATGTACATGAATGCTTCATACACATACATCCCACTGCACGGTAGGAGACCAGTGTAGCAAAAGACAGCTTATTTTGTTTACATCCAAAATCCAACAGTAATGTGTTACAGGCAGATGCTATTGACACACAGCAGTGTCCATGTAGCTCTGGATCACAGTACATGGCAAAGGCTGTAGTTGCCTTCTCTGCAGTCAAATGAAAATGTTAATGACACCATTCATTTAAAACTGGTGTAAACCTATTCATTCAGGACCTACATATGCACATGTAGATTTGTCCTTTCAGGTTGACCCAAAAACCTAATATTTAGATATGTAATAAACTAGTTAAGATGTCTGAATGTTTTAAAACTCCTTTCATGTAGGGCCAAATTTTCACGAATTTCACCAAACAACAAATGATGACATTGTAAAGTCTTAATTCTAAAGTTCATGTATAGAAGCAGGATGTTTGAAATTTGACAAAGAATATCTCTCAAAATTGTCTAGCGTTGAAGTTTTCCTTTTAGTCTTAAGTGGTACATGTACCTCTTCAGAGTGAGAATTGCATTATCAATAATTATTTTTTAATGTAATTTTTGCAGGTTAGCCTGATTGCCATCAATGTTATTGGTGATGAGATCACATCAGAAGAAGATCTGCAGTTACTTGAAAAAGACAACATGCTCAAGGTCAACCAGGTCATCAAAGAGTTTATGCCAGAAGGATATTTCAGTGAAGAATCCAATCATGCCAACAAAGAGACTGATGCAGCTGTATTTGGTGCCATCAATAGGTTGGTCAGTTCAGACTTTATGAAATGTGGGTCCATTCACAGGAAGGGTTCACCAGTTCACAATTACAAAGACACAATCTTTAGGTTAAAGTAATTACCATAATTTTTAGAATATAAGCCATTATACATGTACATTGATTCTCATGCAGAAAAATGTCTATTATTGCGGTAGCACCATGCGAAGAAATATATCTCTTATGAGTATGTGTGGTTCTGAAAAGAACCTGGAGTATACTCAACGTTTCAGACTGTGTGCTCAGTTTGTTGTCAGGAGAATGAAGACATGCTGAAATTGAAGCTGTTTATATAAGGTGACTGAATGCAGTGGGGTGTGACGAGGATGCTAATGGTGGATTCAGCTGGGCGCTCTTGCAGGACGCATCCAGTCACCTTATATAAACAGCTCCACCTTCAGTATCTCTTTGATCTCCTGACGACATTCTGAGAATGCAGTCCGAAATTTTGAGTTTACTCCCAGTTCTTTCCAGAACCACACATAAATGTACTCATAAGAGATATATTCCTTTGCATGGTGCTACCGCAAGCCTTTCCACCTATTGCTTTCACCATGAATAACCTCAAATTCCATCTTATTTATTTCTGATGACCAACAGTGGTTACCCGCCACTTACAAGCATCCATGAGAAATACATGTAGATTAAATCTCTGAATTAAATAATGTACAAATAAATTATACAAATAACCATAAAATTAATCAAAAATTACAAATTGAAACACGTCCTAAACTTGGCAAAGTCTTAAGACACCAGCACGGGGCTGAAGAAGAGTGGGAAATGTATGTACAGACAAACAGGGCTCCATAGAGAAACACAGAAGGAAGGGGGTGGGGGCAATAGAGAGGGAAGGAGGGAAAGGGCAAAAGGATGAACATCACATGTTTATGGACATGATGGAACATGGGTGTGTGAACAAAGAACTGAGGCAAGGGGGACGAAACACAAGGGATAAACACGGGGAAGATCAGAGAGGGTAAACATCACAGGAAGCAGAATTTGAAGTTGAATATTGGAGTTGTGAGGGCTGAAAAAGGAATTAAAGGGATGGAAAAAAAGCGGGACTAATGGTATCACTAAAAGAATCATAGGGAAAGACATCAAGAAACACAAAAATATAAAAAACAGACAATACAAATACATGTACATGTTCATGTACATACAATCTGGCAACTCCTATATACATTACAGTTTCTGGAATACCATAGCAGAACTTACATATACATTTATATTATGGGTTTTGCCCTCACCCAACGTATATTAATAAGCACTGTATGCTCCGTGCTTGTCCGAGAGCTTGCTAAAAAAACCTCACAAGCTTACTCGAGTGGGATTTGAACCCATGACCTCCTGCTTACTAGTGCAGATGTCGTTGCCACTTGACCACCGAGCTTGCCGGGGTCGGCTGGAGGTTCGTTATACATATACATTATTTTTGCCTCTTATACGGCAACCTCAAAAGGATAAAATCTGCCACAAAAGCTGCAACCAGGCCATATGTACCACCATATAATGATCTTTCAACTTGAGTAACCTCGAGACGTCAAGATTTTATCAAGATTCAAGACTGAATCTAAGTGACCCCTCATCATGGAAATATTTATCTGATATTTTCCTACATATTTATGTAGTGTTTTACTACAGTAATGTCAGGAAATCTTTCTTGAAGCTGCTAATTAAGCACGTTTTTTTAACATTCATGTACCAGCACATGTGTTTTGAAGATACTGTGTGTAGATTTTTTTTATCATTGAGCATAGACACACTAAGGAATCAAATACTTTTTATCTTCACTGGTCAGTCCATTTACAATGCAAGTACTTGTAGCGTTATTGTCCTACAGCTTGTAGTTCACTTTAATACTTAATGTTCAATGTTGTTTAACCACTTCCTGACGAGCGACCCGTTTTCGAGCACGTTATACATGAAGCCAGGAAGCCCGGAAGCCCAAAACCGGACAAAAGAGTTGGGCCTTGTAACAAAAGACTGTGCTCGACACAAAAGACCAGACTGCTGGGAATTACAGACATTATTTCACTCTCAAAAGTGGAAATAATCCAGCCTTGTTTTGAAACCGTATACCACGGTTTGAGGCATTTAGAGCGAGCGGATTATCACTGGGGACAAAAGCTCTCCACCACCACAGCGATGAGCCACACAGAACCGCTGCACGCTAATCTGGTCCCTATTGAATAGAGGTCAGCAGTTCACTGTTCCCGGTTTCGGAAACAAAAGAATCTTACATAACACCACACAATCTGGGCTCTTTTACAAGGCTGCAGGCCTGGCTGAAATACTCGGGCGTCATTGAAGGTCAGCTGTCAATTTAGAGTAGTGCCTAAAGATTACTGCCTGTGGGTATAAACGTTCGTTAAATGAAATGATGAATTTTTAAGGAATTTTGAAAACAGAAAAAATGATAATTATCCCGGCCCAGCATCATTAACATTTATAATTAACCCGGCAGCAAGTGGTTAATATAATAAGATAAAACCCAAGTATTCAACATGGGAGTTGACCTAGTATCATAAAATGCCATTTAAGTCAGGTGGTTGATTACAGTTTTTTCATTCGTTTGTTTTTGTTTTTTGGGGGGGGTTTCTTTTGTTTTTGTTATTGTTGTTGCAGTCTTAACCACTTGCTACTGGATGCTTTGAAAAATGCACACATACGAGTCATTTTCAAAATTTTCAGTTTTCAAAATTCTTCAAAAATTCATCATTTCATTTAACGGACGTTTATACCCACAGGCAGTAATCTTTAGGCACTACTCTAAATTGACAGCTGACCTTCAATGACGCCCGAGTATTTCAGCCAGGCCTGCAGCCTTGTAAAGAGCCCAAATTGTGTGGTGTTATGTAAGATTCTTTTGTTCCCGAAACTGGGAACAGTGCACTGCTGACCTCTTTTCAATAGGGGCCAGATTAGCATGCAGCAGCGCTGTTTGGCTCATCACCCCGGTGGTGGAGAGCTCTTGTCCCCGGTGGTAATCCGCTCGCTCTAAATGCGCCAAACTGTGGTATACTGTGGTATTATCTCCATTATTGAGAGTGAAAAAATGTTGGTAATGCCCAGCAGTCTGGTCTTTTGTGCCAAGCGTGGTCTTTTGTTACAAGGCCCAACTCTTTCGTCTGGTTTCGGGCTCCCTGGCTTCATGTATAAAGCCTAGGTACTCAAAAATGGGTCACCCCTCAGGAAGTGGTTAAGACTGGTTCATACTTGATGCAAAAGCCAACACAAGTGTAAATTTGTAACATCAGATCAGTGTTGCAAATTCGTAAAAGTTGAAAAGATTTCAACTCCAGTGAAATTTTGCAAAAATTTTACATGACGTCAAATTTGCTTCACATTTGCATGCAGTATAAACCAGTCTTAAGGCTACAGGAATTGTTCATTAGCCCTAACCCTCCTCAATCCTTCACCTGTTGGAGGACTGAGGAGTGTTAGGGTTAACGTGATGAATAAGTTAATGTGTCAATTATTTTTATCAAATTGCGAAGATAAAAGGTTCTTTCAGGAGGCACGACAGAATGGTTAAAAAGTGTCTGATACTTAAACTTTCTAATACTGTATGAAGTGCAGGATAATATCAACAATATGACATTTGTCATTGACAAATTATAATCGCTTCAGTTTTAAAAAAAACGGAAATATCTGCAATCTAATTTTTACATGTAAACCAACTGCAATGATGCTGATGTTTCTCATATTGAATCCAATTAAGAAGAGCCAAGTCTAATAAAAGTGGCACATATCAATATCTCCCTTGCAATACACATTTTTGTGTTAATAAAACACAGTTTTTTACCCATTTTTCCTGCGAGTCCAGTGCGGTATTGTAAAAATGGATGTGTCATCACGACTCATTAGCATCTAATGGATATTGATTTCTTTGATGTATTATCGTGGAGAGGAAATACCACAGTGCATGTGCGGCAAGCATAGCACGTGTATTCGCAGACGAGGGCACGAATTTGCAGAATTTCTAGTATATCCACCGATGTGAATGCACACGATTTGGGCATTATGTTGTTGTAACCATGAAGAAAGGAACCCAAACTCTCGACGGAAAAGAGATAATGCTGCACAATAGACCTCGTACACAGATCATTCCCTGGTATACGCAGTGCATGCACGTGTTCATTGTAGCTCCGTTTTCTTCTACATATTTGTAGTGGAACCAGTCATGCCACAGATATCAGTTTCAATGTTTTCTCCAGTATTACATCATATAACTTTCGTTTCTCAACAGAGCTACCAGCGGTCGCATTGTGGAAATTTTTCATGAAACTCGAAGATACCTTTCAAAGGTGTGGCGAAATTTTAAAAAATACAGACGCAGTACAGACATGATTTGGTAATGACTTTATGATTTAGTACACACTAAACACAATAATAGTTTACTTTCAAAACTTTTAAAATCGTTGGAGTTGGTCCTTAAATTAAACAGACATTTTTTCCTCACAACTGACATTGATCTGTAGGCAGTCAAATGCTTTTTCTTGTTTTGCTGCAGTCCATACATTGAAATACATGTACACACATTGAAATACATGTAAGTACATACTCCAGGATGGCCTTTTGCAATTCGGAAATATGACACGCAAAAGATGAAGAAATCAATTGAAACAAAAATGTGCAATCTATGTGTACAAAGACCATTTCAGAGGGAAAGGAAATTTGACTGGTCCCCAGGTGCTTGTGACTAGCTCTTTTTAGGAACTGCGTGGCACCTTCAATTTTGCAGCACTCACATGACTCTAGCATGGTCATTTGTGTACCTATATGTACTACACACCTCAATCTTGCTGGTTCTTAATCATGTTTTGCTTAAACACAGCTAAGTGGGATTCAGTAATACAGGCCACATCCTGGTACTGTATATAAGTGAATCCCACTTAGCTGTGTTTCAGTTAAGCAGGTTTTCGTTTATTCACATACGTGTATGTTTGTTTTCTTCTTTGGCAAAGCAGATTTGTGTTTAAAGTGCCACCCATTTGTACTAAAGTGTAATGTTAGACTGGCTCCTGTCCATACATTATTTTCTGCAGCTTACTAATAAAACAAATATATGAAATGGGGTAGGAACCAGTTAAGTGAAATGAAGCTCTATTCAACAGTACTTGTTGAATAGAATGAATAATTCAATGATATGATCAGTGATCAGTCAATCATATGACAGGGATTTATGCAGGTATTGTATAATTTGAGTTAATGTACACGTTCACGTACATATTTGCGTAATATGATAATGAAGCACTTGTACATATGTACTGTACAGGTACATATATGTGATGATAAAGCATTTGTACATGTACATTTTCTTTCTGTAATACGATAATTAGGCATTTGTAAAGTAGCAGTAAACATAGTGTTTGCTGCTATGATTATCCACAGAAAAATGAGGAATATTCAGTTAATTATTAAACCAAACTGTTGTCAGATGACCGAAATAGTCATCACAAAGTCAGGCTTTCAGTCTGTGGACTGGGAGGGGTTTTGGTACACCGTCCCCCTCCCCCCTGAACCAATCACCACTAGTACCGGTATATACATGTATTAAGTAAACTATAGTAAACTTAAGTAAACTAGCTTTTAAGAGTGTCATTTGTTATGACCAGTCAAATTTTGGATTATTATGTGAATTTTGGTCTGCAGGAAGGACTACATTTCACCGATGGATGACTTGGCTTTTGATATGTACCAGGATCCGGAGGTTGCTCAGGTTATCAGAAAACTTGATGTCAGGAAAAATGAAGCTGTACTTCGTAAGTAAATAAATTACTCCCACATTCAGTCATGCAACTGGTAGCGAGGATTGACAAAAAAAGGTTCACTATGAATTTTGGCTGTGAAAATTTATTAAATGAACCAGTAGTTGTTTTTTCACTTTGAAACTTTCAACCAATTGGAACTTAGACAGAACGTTAAAGAAAAAGGGAAAGCACCCCTTATTTACTGGTATCTTTCATTGGCTTTTGTAGAAACTGCTTTGAAGGACATACTTGTTTTGGCTTTCATTTTCCTTTCCTTTCATTCCAGTCCCCAGCTTGTAATACTGTTTATCTCAATAACTTCGGACATCTCCTAATCTTCTGTCCGAACCAAACTGAAATCTAGTCACACAATATGTAGAGTGCACAGCTCCTAAACAAATGTAGCTTTTAATATTTTTATATATGTCTGTTTTGCCACTTGAGAGGTTTGTTCTTAGGGCAATATGCAAAAAACCATTCATTTCACTTATACTTTGTGAAAGTGTAGAGTGATTTTAATTCACCTGACAAAGCTGCAGCATTTTTGTCTATCTGATAGAGTTGAACAAGTGTCATTCAACAGTTCACATGTTCAAAAGGTATTTATTTTTTTCCACAGAGGAACAGTACGATTTGGCAAAAAAATTGAAGCAAGCTATTGCTGATTTGCAAAAGGTACGTCCACTCATGCACATACATGTACATGTACCTGTATTCTTGAGCCACATGCTGACCTCTTATCCTACTAACCATTACATCTAGATTATGTTTACCCAATTAACACCCAGTCCTTTGCAACTGTACACAGCACTAGTAAGAGGAACTTTTTTTTAGTATACTTACATCTTGTCAGTGCTGGAATATCATGAATAACAACAAACATGTCCCATGTTGGAGCACACAGTAATTCATGCCTGTGAAGTACGGTACGCTTAGAATTCATTCAGGTGGGCCCGCCAGATTTACCAAGACTGGATTAAATTTGGCTTCTTGATAGTGTCCTCAATTGGCCAGGTGTCTGCACTAAGGGAATATACCTTAATTCACAGCCAGTCTTGGCCAATAAAAATGTATCAGTTTTGCATGGCTGGTAAATCCATTCATTGCTTTAGTCAGATTTGAATTCAGGCTTGTACAATGTGTACATTTGTTTTCCAGGGATGTGATTTCTTCCAGTTGTTTGGGCCTCGGAAGTTGACCCTTGTGAATTTTATGAATCTGGTTAGAAAATGAATGGTAGGGGAGGTACATGTATATGTATACTAATTAAATATTCATATCGCATTGTGCATGTATGCCAAAATGAACGGAATGATAAAATTCAATTCATATGGTTTACACAGTTTACGGTTCACTGTCTTGAGAACCCGACTTTTTTGTCTACTGGTATTTGCTCCTCATACATGTACCAGTACATCTGTGCGATATAAATATATGTACATTTTACATCCCTTTAGACGTCCCCTTGCTTGAGAACGACATTTAACCAGACTGGGATAGGACTTCAGCTTTGTGCATTTGTATGACTGAAATATGAAATTTGGCTCTCATATCAAGCCCAGCATGGAACGTACATATACACCACAATATACGAGTTGACTATAAACACACCCACACAAGAACAATCACGACATACACATATTCCGTTGGCTGCAACTGTTACCTTAGAGACACATTTTCATGTATGGGTGTGTTGGTGTTTTTACTGTTTACTATGTGGTGTGTGTTTATGTATGTTGCATATGGAGCTCGATACAAACACTGTACCAGGCTTCATGTAGTCTACGTCTGGCAGACATAGAATGCAGTATACACTGTAGGTAATTCACTTGTGTAAGGATCACACTGCAATATATTATTTGCACCTTGTGTGACATCCGTGCATGCACAGGATGTTGGTTTCATTGGCTGTGCCACCTAACATGAAAGCCATCGTACATCATTCTCCAAAGTCAACTAGTAAATTCTATCAAAAGGAGATTTATCAGCTAGAGAGCTACATGTAGATAAATTCAGTTATAAATTTAGTGGAATTGGTTGGAAGAGTACATGGTGGACGGACATATTGAGTAAAGTATAATTTTTGTCACAAGAAATAAGTGATCATGCTCGCAACTCTAATAATTGTCATTGCATAAGTTCAATTTTATTCTGAAATCTTGCGAGAGATTCCGTGAGATTCCAGTTGCGCATGCGCGGTCATTATTGTTGCGTGCAGTCGAAACAGCAACTGTTTCGCTGTTCACATGTGTGATTTTTCACATCATAAGTTGTTATTTTTTGCGAAGACATTGTGAATCACTCGACATGTCGAAATTATAGCATGTCAACATACCCCTGGATACCGCTAAGCGGAATGGGGTTCAAACAGGCTGAAAAATGATGAAATACTCATGCCTCACAAGACCGATGTTTTGGCAACCAAGGCCGTCGTGCACACAAATGACGCCAAGTCTTCTCAACGGAAGCGAGATGTCACGGTCCGAAACTGGACAAGGCATCGAAAGCGGTAACCGTGTGCCCAAATCCGCATCGACCCAGTCAACAGACAAGGCAAAAACGGCCTCGAATGCCTGCTTCACTCCCAAACACAAAGGGGACTGCAGCTGATGGTGCGATTGAACACCACATTACTCAGCTTGAAAAGCTGGTTGAAAAAGAAGAAACCGACAACAAAAAATTCAGACAGACAATTATAGCAGCCTGAACAGGTCGTGTGGTCCTTGCAGATGACGCAAGCACTCTTCCCGCCGAGGACTGCACCAATATGGATTTTGAGAATACAGATTCTCAGGATTTGGCTACAGCTGATGATGACTACAATGGTTACAGTACCTTGTCAAGTCCCAGCACCGCTTGCCAACATGAACAAGCTACTCATCCTGCTGGACATGCAGGCAGAGTGAAGAATCCTGACAAACACGACAAAGGCTTTGCTGCAAGTTTGGCTGTGGATGCAGAAATTGGAGATCCCATCTGACATGATGTGGCTAATAGCCTTAACTTTGCTTTGGTCGAGAAACTCAAGGAAAAGTGCATTCAGGACACAGTCCAAAAATTAAAAGTGCCCCAATAATTGTGCGGCCCTTGTCGTGCCCAAGGTCAACCCCCAAATCTGGTGTCATCACTATACGCAAAATATTATTTCCAGGCTATCTTTTTCAGTGATGACCCCAGGTTCACCACTATTTTAAAATAACAAACCACCAAATTGAGGACAGGGAAACTTGAAGTATATTGACACGCTTATATTTACACAATTTACAAGAGGGAAATTAAACACCAGAGATCTCAATTCAGTTAACAATTTCTTATGTTCAGAGTCAGATCTTTCAAACTTCGCCTGTACGTTCCCACACTAATTTTAAACAGCGTAAAAAAGGTTACTAAAAACACGGGCTTGTTCTTTTGAGAATATTAATTAGTATTATATTAAATAAACGCAGGCTACTCCCTCGCGTGTGGCGCGCAAAGGCCCTGCATTAAGGTTGACCTTCTGTGGACGTCTTGACAAATAGGTCCTTGGTAGCCTTGCTCGGATGAAGTTGTTCCCGTGTAAACGAGCTCACAAAGCTATTGGAGCGAGAGGGGAAACCTCAAACCCAAGGGGTACGGCCATCTATATCGGAACAATTTAAGCAAACTACGTACAAGTTCGAGGGCTAAAGTAATCAAAATACAATCAACAATTTTAACAATGATAAATTATTACGTCTGACATCTTCAACATTGATTTCTTGTCACTTTTCGACAAACCACAAACAGTGATTTTGATAGGGCATTGATCTACATTCATTCTCTAACAACACTGAATTTTTACACATTCTACATTTCCTTCTTAAAAGTCAATAATTGTCAACATTCATGAACACAATAATTTGACATTCTTGAAATCAACTTCATTTATTTTCAACATCTAAAGTGTTAATCAAGACACAAATTTATAATGGAAACTTACGGTTATCCCGCTGGGATCGATCTTAGGACGGTTTCCAGGCTGAGCGTTGCGAGAATTGGGACCAGTATAGTTATAGGATGGGTTGGCTCTGATTTTGCCAATTTTGACCCGATCAAACCGGAACTGATATTTACCGGCTGATCTCCACCTGCTGCATCAGGGGTTTCAAGATGGTTAGTTGGTACTGGTCAACCATACGCTCTCACTCAGCTCACACACTCAAGACGTTTTTTGTCCGGTGATCGAAATTATACTGCGTCACACTCGTCTCACGTACCTTAAATTTTACAAACAGGAAAAGCGTGTGGTATGTACAGACAACAGGAATCATAGCAGTACAGCTGGACTTGAAAACAACAACAAAAAAAAACAATAACCATGGCCGAAAGGTTGTATAATGCCTTAGCGTCTCTTGGTCACAGCATTCGCGCCTGATCGCGTTTGGAGAATTCCTTTAGCCACAATACCCGAGCACACGAAATTTGAACAAAAGTCATTGGTTAGATATACATGTAGTTGTAGCAGGAGAGAAACCATTCACATTGTCGGGGGTGTTTCGCTGAATACAATAAAATAGAAAAATGTCTATTTCGCATCTGAGATGATTCTGGCATCTGGGAGAACATCAATGCCCACTCAAGATCACATGATCTCAAGCTTGAGAGGGTCCAGAAACCCCTGATAAAAGGTACGGTATCACTGTCTTGCAAGAGCTTGTGAGGGACCATACTCCGTAGAGCAAGAACATGCCTTTCTGCTTCTGACTACAGCCAATTTTGAACTTAACTGCCTCAGGAAAGAACTAATTTAACCTGACCTGAATCCCCGTTATGCACATCCGTGCAAACCATTGAATAAGGGTTGCATCTCAACTGTTTGGTGATGAACTGGGGAAACAAATCAAAGAACTTCAGGATGAACAAAAGGTCACATTTGGTGTGTTGAAACATGCGAGGCCAGGACAAAGTCGCAACCGATACTAGCCATATGCAAAGACCACTTCCAACAGATTCAACTCCAAGCTGCATTGGCGGGATGGAGAAGCAGTTCAAATCCTTTTTTAGGGGTCGGCCACAGCTCAAACTTTAAAGGGAAACAAAGCATGCAGTGGCAAAACCAGAGGTGCAGACCAGGCCCAGTCTGCAGAGACAGGAATTTTCCAAACTGTTCCCCGCTCCTGCCACGAAATAGGCCAAGATGAGCCACACAGCAAGGCAGAACAGGTGGGTGAGTCTCCTCAAGTGCTTCAACCCTAATTATTGTGATCCAAATCTTGCAAAGCCCATGCATGGGACAGACTCATTCATGACAGTTAGGGGCCGATTGAGGTCATACCAGTGAGTGGGAAAACTTAACATCAGACCAAACTATTATACAAGTGGTATCAGGCTATAAATTGGAATTTTTTGATGAGCCAGAGGGACTACTCCCTCGAAGTAGCCCACCACGACCTTACAAATTCAATGTTGGTGAGGCATCGTCAGACAGTAATATTGATTTATCTGAACTAAATCAGTGTATAGTGTACAGACACTATACCTTTGATGTTGCCAGAAATCTAGTGACCCCACATTGCTATGTGGCCTCACTTGACCTACAGGATGCCTATTACTCTATTTCCATTGCAGAGGAATTCCGAAAATTTCTGAAATTTCGTTTGAGAAACCTACTCTATCAGTACAAGGCCTTGCCTAATGGCCTAAGTTCTGAGCTACGC